GAACAACAAAACAGAAACAAAAGCTACAACACAAGAAACACTGGCCACCCCTGTTCATACTGTCACATCTACTCAGAAGAAGTATACAGCAGACATCTGAAAATCCAATATGGTGTGATGGTAAATCTGTACTCTAGCCTATCATTTAAGATAGGCTGTTCTCTCTTCTATTTTCTTCTTTGTGTTTAAATAAGACATAACAAAGGTTATTTTTTCAGACTGTGTAATGAAGTGATAATTCTTCTGTATGATTTTCTTTAAGGTATCATTGTGAGTTTCACTTCTTGTTAGGTAAAAATAGAGGCTCTATAGTTTACATAACATGAAATACATATCCAAACACACCATAAAACAGTATGAGAGACTCCTGAAAACATCATTAGTAGAGGAAGCAGGTTGATATCAAACAACCAAAGACCTATGTGAAGCCTAGAAATAAACTTTGGGGTTCTTTTTTAAAAAGTAATCAAGCAGGAAAGCACACTGCACACAGTGCTATCTGAAAATCCACTCACCATTCTATCTGCCCCATCTCTGTGTTCTTACTGTATCTCCTGACATCGTAACATGAACTTTCCCTTTCCTATCCCTTTCCCCAGTACTAACTCTCTACCTCACCTCCTCAGTCTCTCAGTACTTACTTCCCAAGTATCTCCCAACTATCTTAAGGTATCCCTCAGTAGAAAACCAGCTCAGCACTGTACAGGGTACTTTTAGACCATACCTATACAACTCAGCAATACTATTACATAGCAACAATCTTAGTATGAGTTGATAGACAGTAACTACAAATTTTGATGCTTAGTAATAATGATGATTACTAAGAAAGAACTCCATGGCTATCCAAGATATTACTTAGCTAGATGTAAGACTGATCATAATAAAGAGAGTACCAGCTCTCAAATTCATATGCAAATAATTCACCTGTAAGGAAAAATATCGCATTTTTCAATTTAATTTGATTGCTACATAGTACCACCACCAGCAGATCAACTGATAAACAGATCCCACTCTTGCAGTGGAAAATCCTAAAATGCATTCTGAGAATGGTCAGGGTGTCAAATAATAACACAAACTTCAGAGAAGAAAAGGAGTTCCTTTAATGGTGAGTGTAGAGAAAGAATTATGGGTTTTATGGGCTACTGTGGTGCAACAGAATCATAACCATCTCACTGACACCTTGCTTCTTTTTTCATTCCTCAAAATAACTTTCCAATGCATCCTAAAAGTCTAATGCAAAACTCTGCTGTTTCTTCACATTAGGCTTTATTTTTCATTATATGTATCCCAATCATAACAGCAGACTCCAAACGCAACTGCAATACCTAGAAATACAGAAACATCTTTTTGCATGAACCATTTTATTAGGGATGTCAACCTGTGCCCTTTTGATGAAAAGTGGTGATATTTAGAACTTTCACCCTAAGTTAAAAAAATGTTGAAATATTCTGTTTTTGTAAAATTTAATTTTTCAATCAGTTCTACAGAGACCCACTAAAACACACAGGCCATCTCTTTTCACCTGCAAGAGTATTCCTGATAACAGTGTTTTTTTCCAGACTACTTAGAGTTTCACAACCTGTTTTGTTCGTTTCCTGGTGCTGCAAATATGGCTATTTGATTTCTTTCAAATGAGACATTCAGAGACATTCCCACGATATAAACCTGTATGTTTTATCCAGTAAAGAAAAAGAACAGTAATGTGAAAGATTTCTTGTGAAAAGTTGTCTGATGTAAAGGGAAATCTCTTTTCTTCTTTATGACATGGAGCATATGCACCTCCAAAAACATCCCTACCAAAATAAAACATGGAATTCACTGAAACAGTTTTCTTCCTCTGTGCCACCACCCTTCATTCAAGATGTGCCCTATTAAACCAGAGAGGCCTATATACACATGTGTGTATATATATTACATATTACATATTACATACCATGTATATAACACTGAATTATATTCCAACCACTCTAAGTTTCTGTCACTTTTTCATGTAAGTAACACACAAGGTAACATCCCAAAGTGCTACACTCAACTGTGTAACTGCAGAGTTTGCATGCTCCTTCTTCTCTTCATTGTATATTATTTTATAAAATGCACTGGAATATACAGGTAAGGCAGATGATCGGTAAGGATGAAGTTATTAATTACAATAGCAATTCCATTGTTAACAATGCAATAAATTGCTAGACGAGAGATATTGGAGCCAATTTTATGTTTAATAATTAACAGAGTGATTTTTCTTTAATAGCTAACTTCAGAGATTTTTCAGGGGAAAACCATATATTTTAGAATGATACTTTAAGATATATTATATTCATAAACATTGAGGGGTTTTTATGAACTCCTTCAATCACAAACAAGGGCCATAGAATTTCACTCCAATGCCTCTATTGGGCCTTTAACCTACAGGTGACCTAGAGCATCAAGCCTATAGCATCATGTTTTTTTTAAGTAAGAAATAAGAAAAATAGGAAAATAGGACTTAAATAAGAAAATAGGATAATAACTCATATGAGAGATCTGTTTTAGTGAGTGTACTTAAGAAAACTTTTACTAAACAACCATCTAGGGCAGTCTACAAGAGGGTCTAGAGAGGGTAGCCTAGTATCTAAACCATTACTTACAATTTTCTTAATCTGTCTCTTGCTCTATTTTTGAAGCATGATGTGAATTAGAGGAGCTCCTCACCAGCAGCTTTGATATTACTTTTAGGGCAAGGACTGTGGACATGAGACAAGGTCTCAGCATGTTCCTAGTGAGACACAGAATTGTAATGGGTTCAGTGGCTCTGTCCACACATTTCAATTTTCCTTAGTGGAAAAGAAAGCAACAGAAGCAAGTTGTTGTCCTCTTTCTCATCTTTCATCCATGTTAGTTTGAAGTCAGAGCTATAAGTGTTGTGTCTCTTACTATCTAAGCTACCAAGAGTCCTTGCACACCTCATCACCCAAAAATGCAATTTGTTTAATAACAAACTTGGAAGAAACTATTTGCAGCACTAGGATGTACAGAAGAGAACATACATTCTGCATGAGGATGCATAATGTTCTTTCAAAGAGCATTATGGTTTGCCCTACAGTGTTGCAGCTCACTGTGTTATAGTTTGGTTTCTATATCTGATTCCTGCGGTAAGTTCCAGTCAAACCTCATTTACTGTGCCAGGTGTTGCTTGTGCCTTTCAGAAATCTAAAGGGTTTGCTTGGGCAGGTTGGCAGTGCTGTCCCCAGGGCTGGACACAGGGCACAGTCCTGGCAGGCTGGGTAGAAGGGTGTCCACCCTCCCCTCCTGGGCATTGCTGCAGCCCAGCCCAGCCAAAGGCACCAGGGACTCACCAGGCAGTCACCAGGCCACTCTGCTGTCTCCAGACGTGTCCCACTGGCTGGCATTGTGCCACAGGGCTGATGAACTTCCAGAGAAATATCCAGCAGCTCCCAAAGCTCCCAGCTCCAGCACCTCGATGCCACTGCTGCAACTCTGAGGAGCAGGGCACAGGGTGCATCTGTGTAAGGTGCCAGAAGCCAGAGCAGTCTGCTCACTTCCACACTCTGAGGGAACACTGAACTCTGTCAGGGAGGTGAGGATGGAGGGAAAGAACCTGTAACCCAGCTGAGTGGGAGCCCTTGAGGCAGCGGACATTAGGCAAGCACCTGAGAACAGTCACTCCAACACATTGGCTGTATCAAGTCATGCCTAACTTGCTTGGTGTGTAGCAGAGAGGTGGAAGTAGAGGGGAACTAATGGGGAATCACTAATGAGCTATGAAGCCATTAATTGGTGGGGCAGAAGGGTGAGCCCAGCCCCTGGCAGAACACTGAGCCCTGGACAGTGATGGGCAGCCCTGCTCCCTGCTGGGCTTGGCCATGGCTGCCTGCCAGGGCCTGAGCTACCACTGAAATTGGGAAGCACCCCCAAAGGTGGGGCAGGGGGAGCTTTGCTCCTGAAGAAGTTTATTTTCTAGGGGATTGAGGAAACCCAGGGCACCAGGAATACTTCTCTGTCTGCTCTGGGGTACCCTGACCCCCAGGGCAGCACTGACTCTGACCCTCATTCATGGAGAAAGTTTCCCAGACTTCAAGATAGAAGATAGACCAGAATCCACAAAAGTGTGAAACAGATTTATAGAGAGTAGTGTAGGTGTATCACTGGGTGAGAAATTGAGGTTTTGGGATTTTTGGTATGTTGTGGATGGAAGGAAGATGGAGGGCACAGGGTGTCATCCTGGGTTTCTTCTTCATGCTTCTTCTTCCTTCTTCTTCATGGGTTTGGGTGGCATTTTGTAATTGGGCAGAAAAGTCCACATTGGGGGCTTTTAGGAACCAGTCATTGGGTTAAAAGGGAAAATAATCTAGGTGTCAGTTCTTAATTGGATGGTTTAGTCTTAAAAGACCTTGCACCAAGAGATTGTTGGCCATTTTTGTGACTTCTAATGAAAAGCTGCAGAACTCACAGTAGTGAGACTGTTTTACTGATCAGAAATAATAAACACCTGAGTCTGAATTACTGTCTCAAGTGCCTTCAATCCAGACCCAGAGAAACCCACAACTGGTACCCCCACAGGGGATTGTTAGAAATACAGGAATACCATGGTACATATCGTTCTGTGCCTCTCAGCACAGACCGGCCGGCCGCGAGAGGTGATTGTCCTGCTCTGCTGTGTCCTCACCTCGCATCCTGTGTGTGGTTTGGGTGACACGATATAATAAAGAAATAAAGCAACTGCAGAGTAGGTTTAGGAGGAGGGCAACGAATATGGCGTAGGGCATAGAGCAAAATGATTAAAAAAAAAAAAAAAAAAGTCGCGGTCGGTTTTTATCATTTTAATTCAATTTCCCGCTCCGGGTTGGGTGATCGGCCGGAAGTCTAGTGACGACTCTGTTACCAGCAGCTCGATCCGTACCGACTGACATCCCGCCCGGCCAATAGAGCTGCAAACGCCGTCCCTCGGGCTGGGCTCGGCCCCGGCGGGACAGCGCTCAAACCAGCAGCGCCAAGCCTGGCCCATGGAGGCTGTACTGGGGCAGGTGGAGCAGCTGCCGGCGCTCCTGGCCGTGTCCCGCTCCGCGCTGGTGCGGGACTGGGACTCCCTCACGCTGGATAGGGCTCTGGAGTGGGCCCGCTATTTTCAGCACCTCTATGACCGGTTTCGTGCCCGTCCCCAGCTCCGGGAGGTCCTCGGGCGGCGGCTGCGCCGGTCCCAGCCGTGCCCTCTGCTCGGCTTCCCCGCGCTGGGCCGCTGCCCGCAGCTGCTGGGGCTGGCGCTGCTGGAGAACCGCGCTCTGCCGCCCGCCGCCTGCCGCCGCCTGGTCCGCAGCCTCCTGCAGCCTCCCGGCGCGGGGCCTGCCTCCGACCCCCGGGGCCTGGAGCTGCTGGCCCGCCGCAAGGCCGCTGCCCGCCTGCTGGCCTTGCCCCGCCATGCCCCCGGGCCGGAGCCGCAGCTGCAGGCGGAGGCGCGGCTGCTGCTGAGCCGGCTGCGGCAGGAAGCCGGGGAGGCCGCGGGGCAGCTGCGCTGGCTGTGCGGGGCTCAGGAGGGGCAGGAGGCCCGGGAGGCCGCGGGGCAGCTACGCTGGCTGTGCGGGGCTCTGGAGCTGCTGCCCCAGCCCCGCGCTTTCGGGGTGGTGGCGGCGGCGCTGGCTCTGCTCAAGCAGGGCCGTGGCGCTGAGCAGGCCGGAGACGGGCATGGGGATGGGGATAGGGATGGGAGCAGCAGCCCAGACGGGTACCAGGAGAGTGCTGCAGGAGAGGAATGCACCGCCGGGCTCCTGCTTTCCTGGCTGCTGGGCAACCAGGATCGATTTTCTGCCTTCTGCCTTTGCATCCCAAGTTCCCATCTTGCCTTCCTAGCTGGTCAGTATTCCCAGTTATGCAGATCTTATTTGGACCTCTTAACCGGCTGGGGAAGGCACTTGCACTATGACCCTTTGCAGGGACAGTGGGTTAAAAGTTGCCTTGACAAAGCTGAATTGTCCTGGGAGGAATTAAGGGAGCACTTCATCTGCCTCTGTCAGGGATCCACGCCGCTCAAAGAGCAGACCCAAGCTGCTCTGGAACTCCTGAGGACACAAGATGGAGACTTCAGAGTCCGTGGCCTAAGTGTGTGGACTGACTTACTGATGGAAGTGGGCTACTCATGCGTGGACACAAAAACAACGGGGAAACTTACAAAATCAAGTACATCTGGTTAACTTTATTTGGTGTGAAAGGCAAGACAACTACTCCTCACTTCCTTGAAAACCAAATGCTACTGTGACTGCTGATCACAATGATTCTGATTGCATCTGGTTCTGAAATCTTTCCGGGAGGTCTGGTGTTTTCTTCTTGTTGTGCTGTCATTTCTGGTCAACACAGAAAATTTCTTCCTTTTCAGTACTTGCTGATTAATTATCTAATAAAATGAAGAAAATCCATTCTGTTTCAGATACAGAATAGTTTTCTGTTTAGAAAATATGACAATTCTGATATGGTCACGGTAGTAATTTTTCTAAATGTTGGAGGCTGAGCAAAAGTTCAAAGGGAGGGTGGAGTTTCAAATGTGAAAAACACGAATTCAGGGTTCCTTTAGTAGTGATTGTATTCATTGGGCTGTCTGCTCTGCTGGTCACATCATGTCAATGCTTCCATAGCTCTTGCACATGATTCATCCCCAGGGTCAGTGAAGAAAGTGAGAGGAGGCCAACTGGAAAGCATCTTGAAAAGTTCTAAAATAAAGGTCTTTACTCATTGCTATATTATTTGATAATATCCGGGTGTTTCCTAAGGAAAGTGAGGTAAAATGTAGGATATTCTGTGTGGCTTTCTTTCCATTTCCATAATTTATTACATGTATATATGATATATATTATATAAAACTATGTCTATATATTTATACAAAATATTAAATAATTGTATGTGTAAAATATGTGATATATACAGTATATATAATATTTCCCCCCTTTGTTATTTTATGTCTTATCTGTTTCTGTTAGGAAAACTTGAACAGGGTTGTTTCTACCATTCCACTTTCATTGAAGTGAGTACTGTAATGCAGAAGTAATGTGTATGTTCAGCTCTGTAAACTAGTATTACCAAAAGTGAGCACTATAAAAAGAGAATAGTCAAGGAAGATGAGGCAAATGTGTGGAACTACTGCCAAAAGAGTTACTCATTAATCTTTTGTATGGAGGACCTGTCAGAGTTCCAGTAGACCATATTCCTACAGTTTCAAGATCGAGACATCTCTTTCTTTTGTTGCAAAAGCCTTGTAGGAGGGGTTAGAAGATTCTTCACTTATGCTTATCAGCTTAAAGAAAGCAAACAAGTTATTAAATGTATAAACTGTATCGAAGCTAATTAGAGTAGTAGTCTGCCTTATGACAGGAAATAGTGTATATAACCATGGAAGATATTTCTGAATGGCAGAACTAAAGTGGGAAGAATAAAGTGGTTTTTGAAATGGAAGCAATTAGTACAAGGATTGAATATTGTTTATCTGGGGAGAGAAGTGATGCTTATTTGAACTTGTATGGAAGTAATTATGGACATAAATAAGTTCCTATGCTTCACCTATTCTAAAACAGGAGAGATACTTAGGGGTAGCAGCCTTTATATATAGTTAGAAGGACATCCTACTAATCTATCAAAAATACAACTTTTCTTTGCATTCCTTGCTATGTTACATCAGTGAGACAAGTTATGGAGATATGTGGATGAACATACTCTAAAACTACAGCTGTGTCAGTTGTCTTGCTCTGTCTGAAATGGAGTTGTTGCCCCTTCTGGAACTTGTGGTCAGTCTTAAAAGACGCCAATGTCAGTGGACCTCCTGACTGAGTCAGTATTTCTGTGGTATCAAAAAATGAAAGCTGTCTAAAAAAAACGGTCTGAAATCTGTCAGTGTTTAAAACTGCTTAGAAGTGTAAAGCATGAAGTTTGAATTTATGTTGTCTAGCCACAGTTCCCTGTGTTACGTAGTTTTGGCATTTGGTATGGAAACTCTGCACTTGAGCTTGCTCTTAACGCTTTTAACAGGCATAAGATTTTTTGTCTGTTAGAATACTTTCTGCTATCAGAGGCTCCTGATGAATAATGTACCCGAAGATGCTCGACAAAGTTATTTGCTTCTCCCCAGATACACATTAAGGGTGATTAAAAAATATTGCAATAACCTTGCAAATGTTGTAGTATCAAACCAAACTTCAGCTGTTAAAACCTACTGTTCCGAGTTTACTGAATCTATGGGACAAATTTCAATGAGGGTTAAGTCTTAGTTTTGCTAAGTTAAGTCAGGTTAGATATGTTTGCTAATTATTCTCAGAATGTTCACTATCAATTAAGTCTTTTAACTATTTCTAGAATAAGTCAGATCCTTGTAGGGAGTTTCTTCTTGCAGTATTTCAAGTGTTCCTTTTGATAAGCTTTGTGTTATAAAATTCAGTTCATGAAGGCATATGTCTTTCTTTCAATTAATGTTTGTTACACCTTTTAATAACTAAGTGCAACTGCAGAATCTTTTACTGGCATAGCTAGGAAGTAATAGGCCCATCAGTGACTTTATTTAGAAAGTAAAGAAATAATCATGGGCATGGACAGGCAAGAGCCAGGCCAGTATAAACCTTATATACTGATTTCCAATTCTGACTTCCTTACAGAAACAGGGATAGTAAAAGGTAGTTTAACTTCAGTGAGACAAAAGCACCTGGTTATAGCAATTACACAGGAATGTTCCAGTCTGTCCCAAATACGTTATAAAGAGAGGCCAGATCTCTGATTACCAAATTCCAAAATCCATATGGTATTCATTGCACAAATGCACTGGTCCACATTCCCTGTTATTTCAGCGTGCTTGTGGTAGCTGTGCAATGATGAATTTTTTCTGGAACTCCATTTTTAATAAAGTATAAACAGGAAAGGAACCTCCTCCTTTTATATATTTGCAGCTCATGTGTGCAAACTCTTGACAATCTCAGCTATCATGAGAAGCAAGATACTGTAAATGACTGGCTAAGGCCTCTTCTACAATCACCTTCCTCCTTTTTTTCCCCTTAATAAGGAGAAGCAGATCTCTGCTCTTTATTAAATGATGATTGAAGAAACTGCTATGCTTGTGTTTTAGAAGATGAGTAAGAATTGTGGAATGTATCAGGAGGGTCTTACATGCCCAATTAACAGCTATGATATTTTCCTGCTATTGATGTTTGATTTTTTTCCCCCAAGAAAGAAAAAACAATTTATCCCTTGACAAACAGAACTGCAACTGCACAAGTGACATACTATGAGATGTCTGGATACAAAGTTGCCTCTTTTTCTTATTTTTCTTGTGAAGTTTCTGTTTCTTTGTTACTAAGCAAAATCTAGAAGAAAGCAAATTATATATTCTAGTATTTTGCAGTATGTATGCAGATACTAGAATAAAGATAAAGAATGTAGAATAAATTGTTCATTTATGAAAACAATATTAGCAAATTGGTACTATTCAGGTGAATATGCAAGCCTGATGGTCACAATGCATTAACATGAATTTTTTTTTTTGCACACAAGGTTTCTTTTCCCCCAGCCCTTTCCCAAATAGATGAATAAGGGTCTAATGTTCTTTTCAGTGAGCATGAAGGATGATTTTTTTTTCTTCTCATGTGTAAGAAAATATTTATTAGGTCATGAAGGCAGACTAATATTTTAATCACATGGAAGTAACATTGTCAGATACTGTTTAATTAGGAAGTTGAAGTTGTGTGGCTAATTTTAGTTCTGTTGTTTCTGAAAAACAGAAGGTTTAAAGCTGAATGCTATTCCTTGTGAACAGTTTGGATGAATGACCCGTTGCAGAGTGCCAGCAAGGCACATCATTGCCATTCAGAATACAACAAACAGCAGTAGCATAAGCACCCTGTACTTGAGAAGCTTATTTATTTGTTGGGCAGAATTGCAGGAAAGTAAATAAAATGCAAGGGGAAAGGGTGAGGAGAAAAGGTGGAAGGCCGCTCACTTTTGAGGACCCATTGAGAAAGGGTAGATTTCCCCTTCCCCAGAACTGAATGGCCTTGTTACTGCTGGAGACAGCATTAGTTTGGTCATTTTGTGATTAAAAAATCAGAAGAGTTTTGATTTGATGTTGGCTATTGTTCTCAAGCACTCATCCTCTGTGTGCCCAAGTGACCACATTGATCAGGGGTGTAACTGGCAATAATATCGAGGTAGTGAATGAGAAATGTTGTGCAGGGTAGGAGGCTGTTTATTTAAATATGGGCTGGTCTCACAGAGGTGAGACCAAAGGAACAGCATTATAGCTGCCCTGGTATAAAATAGATTTGAATAATCACAAGTATGGTTTGAAAAACTAGCCTTTTATCAGGTAATAATTAATATAAATCCTTCTCATGGGCAGTTTGCTCTCAGTATTGTATCTGTCTCATGAGGAATTAATCAAACACATCCTTCTTTATTAATCAGTTATGCCCCTTACTGATGGATTCCATGTTAAGAGATGCTAGACAACTTGGAAAAAATTGCATGTTTGTTCTCCCCTATGTGCTTCTTTTTAAAAAGTTCCTGGATAAAAAAACGATTGTATCAATGAACTACACCAGAGATAAACACATAGTTAAGGTGCATTCTCTTTAATAATTTCTCAGAGGTAGCCTACAAAGATAATTTAATTTATCCTTTAATTCCTTGTGTACCAGTACCTTAGAGTTAGTAATATTATTTTAAATATTTTATTATATGCCAATAATTTTCCATTGTGTCAGTTCTTTCACAACTAGATATTTGTGTCCCTAGATTTTTAGAGTGGTTGGAATTTTAATTTATAGTAAGTATTTTGACTCATCTCAGATACCACAGAGGGTGGCAGCAGAGCCTCTCTACACAGATAAGCTTGGACTTGTGATCCAATGAGAGAATCCAAGCTCAAGGGTCATTTCTAGAAGCAGAAGAGATGCAGGGAGTAAACACCCATGGTTGTCAGAAGTTAGCCAGTCAGAAGTTTCCAGTTGAAAAGTCCTATTGAAAGTTTATTTTGTCCTTGCAATTCTAATTTTACTGGCTCTTTAATGTAGTCTAGGATCAGGTAATAATATGAACCATATCCTCTGTCTCCATCCACAAACCCATTTTATTAATAATATTAGGTATGCAGCTCTTAAATTCCTTTTCTATTACATGATAAATTCCATAGTATTATGCGATCAATTTACTGTAACACTTAACTAGTACATTTTACCAGAAATCATAGCAGTATGCACTGAACAGAAAATGCAGCAATCAAATTCTGAATCTTGTCTTGAGCTGCACCTTCCTATTATATTTCTTCCTTTGGGAGGGATGTTCAGGATGATTGCTCAGACATGGGCTATTCATAGCATGGAGCTCACAAACACACTAATCCCAGCATTTGATAAAGCTCTATTTAGACTTTTGGCAATTGTCATGA